GGAAAAAAGGGGGGGGGGGGGGGGGCGGTCTGTATTTTTGGATATTTTCGCGGTTCCGGTTTTTTAAACAGGAAGACGCGGGGGGTTTTGTTGCTTGAAGTTGTCTAGAGGAGATTGCGACCGACCAAGCAGGGAAGGAAGACGAAAAACCGTACTTGTGGCCGACAACCCTCACGAACTTGGCGGACGATGGCGCATCTCAACTTAAGATTGGCAAGCAGTAATGCTTATTCGCCAAGAGACATCACGCGCGAGGTTACCATGCTTGGTGACCCATGGGACGTGCATGTGACGGTGGCTTTCGCTATTGTGCCGTACACGGCAAAGGCAAGAAGAACACAAACGACGCTCGGCTATATCCCCGAGGTTTAGCGAAATGCCCAACCTGGTTTAGGGTCCCTCTGCAGGGGGTAAATATATGGGTGCAGATAGTTAGAAGGACCCTTGTAACCAGAGGTACTGACATTTGACTTTTACCCTTGTCAATGAAAATTAATGTGCACCTTTTACAGCATAGTGTGCGTACCTGCAAAACTTCAAGATTGACTTCCCTCCCAAGAGCGTCGGTCATTCTTGCCAGCTCCTCCACCACCTGAGACGAAACAAATGACATGGCAAAGCCGACCGTTTCAACTGGTTCGTGCTGTGTTGGTGGTAGCCACGAGCTTGGTTTGTTATTGCGGCGGTTGATGATTTCCTTACGATCATAAACGCGATATTGTGGGGGTGGTGTGGGGGCAGAGTAACCACGAGCTTGGTTTGTTATTTCGGCGGTTGATGCTTTCCTTACGATCACTACACGCTAAAGTGGGGGGCTGGTGTCGGGGCAGAGGCGCGGGGGGCGACGTGTAGGTTCTCCACTGTTTTCTCAGACGTATCGGGTAGCTTGACGCACTGCACCAAGCCCGTTTAGTTTCGTTAGCAGAAGCGTACTTTTGGTGTATTATGCACAACTTTGCGAGGGGAGGTTCCATGGGGGTATCATTTAGGTTATGATTTTGAACAGATCGCACTGTGGGGCACTCGAAGGCGATAATATGGCAAACCTGATGTAAGGGAAATGCTTCGTATCGACACGAGTCGTCATGACGTAGACTCGACAGCACAAACACCCACCGTACAAAAAAAAGAAAGAATAAGAAGGAGAAACACATCCCTTCGTACGGAGTACTATTTCGGACGGGTAGTCCTTTTCTGATAGTATGTACCACGGGAATTGACCGCGTCAAGTGTTTGGCTAGTACGGACAGAAGAAGGTACTGGATAGAGAGAATGGAACGGTTTTTAATGTGAAGACAACAACAAGAACAACAACAACATGTACCTCTTTTCAAATGGAGCTATCACCCTCTTGATTACATTGCTGTGCTCCCACGGACCCATTCTCCAGGGACCAGTTGAACATCTAAGAAGATGGACAACACACACATGACGGCGATCAACTCACCACGTAATAGTTCCCTTCCTTGAATTTTCTTAGAAAATGGATCAACACACGTGTAAAAGACGACGATCAACTAACCAAGTCCTGGACGTAGTTCCCTTCCTTGGCGAACAAGAGCCGGAGCGCGTCCATCACGACCGGATCCGACGCCGGATCAATGTACGGGACCCCCCGCCCCCTCCCCCCGCCTTGCCGCGCAAGCGCCGCGTCCCCCGTCCCCTCCCCCTGCCGCCGCTGCTGCTGCAATGGTGCGTAGTCACCCAGGGTTCCGGAGCCGGAGGTCGGCGAAAACGCCTCCTTGGTGGTGACTCCCCCGTTGGCGGCGGCGGTGGGTTCAGTGCCGTATCGGGACATGATACCGCTGCCGCCTGGGGCGCTAACCTCGGCTGCCAACGCTGTGAAGGTGCGGTAGCCTTCCAAGATCTCGTCCACACGGTCCACCTGCGGTAAGCGCGATATTTTCTCGCAATGAGTCTTTCTTTTTTGTACGATGTGAGAACGGCATCAGTGTCGCTGTTTTTTGCTAAGATTGAACGTTCGCCCAGCGTGCTCGTGGCGACAGGCGTGGGGCCTTCTCGTATGGAAACGATTGCTCAAGGATTGACAGCAACAACGACGACAACGACCACGACGACGACGGTAACAATGCCAACGGCGGCGACGGAAAAATGAAAAACTACGAAACGTCAACGACGACAACAACGGCGATGTCAACGACAATAACACCACCAACGCTCGCAGCAGCAGCAGCAGCAACGACACCGGCAACAGAAATAACGAAAAAATATCGAAGCGAACAACGACCACGACAACGGCGATATCAGCACAAACACTCGCAGCAGCGGCAGCAGCAGGACAAGCACCAGCAGGACCGAAGCAACAACGACAAACCTGCAGGAAATCCCCGTCCTTGCCGTACAGGAAGCTCTTGAGCATCCGGCGCATTCTCGGAGTATCCTCCGTCAGCAGGCGTCGGCACAGGTACGGGAAGCACTCCTTGACGATGCTGTACCCGGGGTCTATCGACAAGCCGAGGCCCTCGAGGGTGCCGAAGCAGCGGATGATGAGCCCGAAGTAAGCCGGGATGCTGATTGGGTAGTTCTTTGCCAGCTCCTCCACTTCCTCCCCGACGGTGTCGATGGTAATCGTCTGAGCACCCCCCCCCTCGCTCAGCTGTTCCATCACCTGATTGGTTGGAATGAAGGGGCGCATGACAAGGGGGGGGGGGGTGTACTCATAGTCGTGCATGCCGTATAATAGTCCTTAGACCATTGACCTCACATCCCTACAAAGCCGGAACGGAGCACGCCGGGTTCTCACCCGATCAGGCTCTTACATCACCAAGCGCGAAGCACCGTGAGGTATTCGGCGAGTCGCATGAAGGGTGCCTTGCATCCTGCTAAGGGTGTTCAGCATCTTGTGCTTACTTCCTTACGTACGGATGATGACAGCTGCGTATGACATAATTTATTTTCTGGTGCTTTCACTTCCATGGGAAGGGGGAGGGGCGGTGTACTCATGTAAACGCATGCCATGGTCGTTAGACGATTGATCTCGCATCCGGACTTCTGGCGATAGGCCGTGTTTGCGCCGGCCACGATACGTTTCACAAGGAAAAAACAGAAGCGCCAAACAAGGGTCATGGGATGGGGGTGGGGCGTGCTCATGTTTTGCATGCCGAAGTTGTTAGACCATTGACCACACGTCCTCGAGAGGACGGAGCAATGTTCCCACACAGGACCGATCACCGATGGCCAATCGCTCCTTTCCTAGTTTGCCACAAGATGGCTGCATAACGTGGGTATGCGAGGGGGAGGGGCGTTTGCGGCTCGACTCACGATAGCGATTGGGTCATTCACCAAGGATCCTCACTGGAGACGAGCCGCCGCCACAACATCCCCAAGACGTCTCGCTTCGAGCTTTCGTAATTCAATACGCGATCGCCGCTTTGTTTTCAAGTTTGCTACGACTATGCTATCTTCACTAGAGTCATCCCACGATAGGGTGGGGGAAAAATGGAGCCGAAATGACGGTGGCGACAGGCTACGCGGTTCGTTCGCGTAGCCTCTTGTATCTCTTCGAATCGCTCATGTGTTCCGAATCTGATTTCGGGACAGGGACACCCATCCCATTGGCTTCCGTTCTGCAAAAACGTTTTTTGTTGTTGATCGTTTTTCGGTGAGATACGGAGCTACGCGTCCGCGTATCCCATGTTTTCAAGGCTGCTACGACTATGCTATCTTCACTCGTCGCCACTGAGGACCACCGTCTATCCGTGCTATGGCCGCGTAGGGAGTCAACGGTTGTCTATAGCCCAGCGCGACAAAGCAAAGTCGTGTTGCCACAGGACCGGGTGCCGGAGTCCTGGTCAGACACACAAATGCAACGAGGCGTTGTCCTGAACAGCCTTGACTACTTTCGTTCGAGTATCAACAACATTGGTTCCTTTTCTTCGTCAACAATAGTTAAATGTTCCGACTGCTGTACTTCAATTTTGTCGATAACCCGCTTGAACATGACCAGTATGACCGATCATGTTTTTCGCTTCATAATAAGGGGTTGGAGCCCTTACCGGTGATCATTCTTATTTTCGCGGAGGTCCCGGAGGACTGCTTTTTGCCGTACTGAGGTTGATGACTTGTCGTTGGTCACCAGCCGGTTAGCGCGGTCCTTGCTAGTAAACTAAAAATACAAGAGAACACACATGCGCGTGTTTTTCAAAGGCCAGCAGGTAAGCGTGGTCGATGCTAACTGACACACTTGCACACACACACCTTGGCGAGGAGCGGGACAACGAGGGCAACTTTCTCGGGATCATCCCCGACTTCTGGCGAGATGAAGCCGAGGACGATCAGGTCCTCCAACGTGGCGGGGTAATCCTTGGCAATGAGATGGATCACGTACTCCAGGAGCGCATAGCTCTGTTCTTCGGTCACCTGGAGAAACGGTGCCACGCAGAAAATACGAGCACATGGTGCCGGGGGGGGGGGGGGGGGGGGCATACGCCTAGCTTGTGGACAGGAGAAGTTTCAACTGGAACGTGCCCAAAAATTGCTGACCCCTTAGGGTTGCACAAACAAGCATACGTCAGCAGAACTCTTTGTTCCGAAGTTGTGCATGTGGCGGACGACCATGTTCGATGTCCTAGGCTTGGATGTGTTGTTCCATCCCGGGCGGCCTCGTTCTAGACCCTCATCGCGAGGTCAGCGACACGTATATGGTTCGGTTTCCCCGCCCAAAGGCGGTTTCTCTTCACATGAGATAATTCTCGTTGTCGCTGTCGTCGACGTCATCGTCGCTGTTGTTGTGCTTGGTACCCCTGATTACACGTTGAGCAAACTGCCCACCTACATCAACATCGGAGTTGGCGAGATGATTGCAGAAGGAGAAAGACAAACAAAACAAATATCGGTACTCCGCCGTGAATCATGCCAAGCGGGCCGTCGCGAAGAAAAAAAAATGGTACCTCGGTCATGAGCCCGAAGTCGAGCACGCAAAGTGTCCCGTCGTCCTGCAGGAGGAAGTTGCCCGGATGGGGGTCGGCGTGGAGGAACCCGTTGTCGAGCAGCTGCACCAGGTAGGAATTCAAGAGCGTTGCCTGTGGAGTGGACGAGGCGAGAGACAGAGGAAGAAGGTCGAAGCGTGAGGACCACGTTTCGCGCATCGTGTGAACATGCGTGCTCGACAGGAGAAACACAGGGACCTAGAACCTCGTTAGGGAAAAACGTTTATTTCCAGCAGGAGATATATATATATATGGGAACCTAGCCGCTTACGTAAACAAGATACTGTGCTCGAAAGGGTCCCCAGGTAGCCAGTCCTAGGCCAAAACGTTCCGAACCGCGTCTCTGGTAAAAACCAAGCAACGGCAGCAACGGCCACACCAAGACCACCAAAACAGGACGACAAACACCCCATCAAGAGCACTCCCTCCGCCACTGCTACCAAACCCTTTTCCACAACAGGCCACGCCCTTAGAAGCAGCAACATCGCGATCGTCTTTAACAAAGACGCACGACACCACAGCCACCGCCACCCACCTGTAGAGTTGCGAGGCATGCTCTCCCCTCGGGGCTCCTAGCCTCCAAGTTCGAGGCCTTTTCCCCGTCCACCCACTGGGTTACCAAGACGTATCTCGTCGTCATGTCCCGGTAGACGGAGGGGACCTTGATCGCGCTCCCGAGGCTCTTGTGCTTGGCCATTTCCTTGGCGAAGCGGTCGGCGTTGTTGGCCTCCATCGTGTAGTCCATCTCTTCCAGGAACCTCACCGCCCAGCTGTCGATGAGGCTCTTGACTGAGCGGGAGGCGTCCCGCAGTATGGACACCGTGCTGCGAGCGCGAAAGAATACGATTGAGTACCGATTAAGATAGAAGTGAACTGACGGGTTCCTTGGGAATCGGGTCTTCCTTAACACTCCCCACCCACAGTGTTTCCCCTCGACTGGGAACCCATTGTGACCAGGACGGGTAATTCGATAGAGGTTTCACGGGCTATTGCCAAGATCTAGTCAAAGATGTGCTCCCGGGACTGAACCGTACATTCGTCCATGGGAATGTCCATCCAAGGTAGGAGAAGAGTGTGCACAACCGGACTGAGCATCGAACTATTATGTAGTAGTGTCCTAGACAACGCCGTTGCGAAGTTGTAGCGATTGTGGCAAATTGCAATTGACAGATATCTTGGAAATTGGGCCCTTCTTCACACGAACATACGGTAAAAGAAGAGCTCTCAAACGGCGTGAGGCAAATGGATAGTTCTTTCAACGTCAACATACACGTCTACCGTGGGCTGCATTAGATACCCAACCTAGACCGATTTTCAAACCTCGACAACTCTGCGGGAAAAACAGCATCTGTGCCGAAAATGACAGCCTTGGAACCACTGGCCGAGACCTTTCCGAAACGTAAAACTTTGATTTTGGCATCCCCTTCGTCGTTGAGCAATCGAGCTTCACTGCTCGGCTTAGGGGGCAGGGGGTGTGGTATCTTACGCGTGACTTACGGTACTACGGCGTACCCGACAGCAGGGTTGGTTGGCGCTGCTAACCAAAACGTTTTCCATGCAATTTCTGTGCATTGAATCCATCCGCTTGTCTTCTACAAAGCTGCCACGTGCTACTCCGTTCGGGAATATAGGGACATTCGGACAATCACATTGAATGGTCCCTATATTTCCAAAACCGAGTGGTATCAACAACAACGTAGTAGCAACGTTTGACTCCCAGTGCAAGCCACGGCTTTCGCCCGCTCACCCGATGAGGTCGAGAATGATGCGGATGACGTAGAGGTCTCGCGTCACCGTGGCCAGGACCTTCGGCCGCTGGATCTTCACCGCCACCGTCTCCCCCGTCCCCTTCAGCCTCGCCTTGTACACCTGCCCCAGCGACGCGGCCGCGATGGGCCTGTCGAAGGACTCCACGCTCTCGAAGGCTTTGCCGACGGGGACGCCGAGCTCACGCTCCAGGATCTTCCTCGCTTCCGGGGAGGAGAACTCTGGCACCCGGTCCTGCAGCTTCTGCATCTCTTCGAGGTATGGGGCGGGAAGGATGTCCGGGCGGATGGACGCCCCTTGCCCCACCTTTTTTAGACAGTTTACATACAATCACAGGAAGCTGACGCCTTTTAGTGAGTGGAGGGAAACCGGCTGGAAACTCGGCTTATTTAATGGTCTGTTCAAGCCTACCACTGAATGTTATCAGTGATTTCAGCCTGTGCTAAGCACAAAATATCTATTATATGCCATTTTACTTAGAAGTATACCATTTTTGTTGTCTGCAAATCGTTTAATAGGTGGATGTCTTTTACAATACATCCCCTGTAAGTTCTCTACTGGGTCACCTTGATGAAGGCGGGTCCGTTCGAAGACGTGAACTCCCGCATCTGGACCGCCCTGACGGCCATGTTCTTGTCCCAGTTGTTGGTCAGCACGTCTGCGAGGACGTTCAGCAGGAAGCTGGCGAGGGAGGCGGACACCTCCACGAAGCGCACCGCCACCACCAGCGGCTTCCGCCGGTAGTACGCGTCCAACTGGTCGAGATCGTACTCGGTAGGCAGGGGGGGGCTTTCCCCTCCGAAGCGCTGGACGAAGACGGCCAGGACGGCGGCGGATCCCAGGAGGGAGAGCGCCGCCACGACCGCGCCGGCCTGGTCGCTGCTCAGCCCGAGCTTCTCCAGGGAAGACTCGATGACCTTGGTTGCGGGGCTCAGGTAGCCGTCGACGGCGTTGAACATGTCCTCCGTGGTCTCCCACGCTCTAGCAGGGAGAGGGGCGAGGTGGAGCGCCGACTGCAGGGAGCTCGTCATCTCGGCCGCCATCGTCGCTATCTGGTGGGTCGTGCGGGTGTCCGTGATCTCTCCTAGGAATCGCATGTGGTCGTCGTTGAGCAAGCTCAGCAGCACCGGCGACTCCCCCACCGAGAAACCTTGGTACCCATCCACGAACGATCCCATACGCGCGCCAAGCGCGGATTCCAAATCGAACCCCATGTCTGCGCCGGAGTCCAGCCCCATGCCCAGGCGCGTCGCTGCCCCTCTCCGTGTTGGCGCCCCTCTGCGGACGGACGGGTGATGTGTGTTGATGAAGACCCCCCCCAAAACACCCACCCCCTCCGGCACCCCGCGACGCTTTCTCCTACGATGTCGTTCGGTGCCTGCTACACCCCTACAGTATTTGCCCTCGAGGTGGCACCGGGCTGCATTGAAGGCTCCATACGGGTTGCTAATAGGTCGGGGGGCAGTTACCATCCCGCTGCACTCTTGGACGTTTTCGCTCAAGAGAACCATGGCGACCAAGATGCAGCCCGATGTGCCTCGAGAACATGTCGGCGGACAACATGAAGCTGAAGACGGAGGCAACCGTGTCATCGTCGGAAGGGCTTCTTGCAAATAGGGTAGACAGAAACAAAGAGGACCAGACGCATAGATAGGAGGGTGAGATTTTCCGGGCCGTGCGTACATTGGGGGGTATAACCAGGTCCCGGCATGGGGGGTACAGCTGTGCAACTCGTATTCAACATTAAGAGTGCGGGGTACATGGCACGCCATCCTCATTTTGGAGGACACGGTGACATGACTCAAGTAGTTTTCGCTGAAATACACCTAAAACTTGTACCAGTATATTGTGCCTTCTGCAGTTCTGCAGGGCGCTGGGCTGACCGTCGTTCGTGTGTTCGTGTAGCCTGCGTAAGAAGTAACAAGCTCCGATGCACACCTATAGTAACATGTGGTCACAGTCTCAGTACCTAAATTAAGTACCCGCATCGCCGGCGTGAAATCCCAGCCAACATGTGGTAGATTGCAGAGCAGTATCTGTGCTTCCTATCTGATCGTATGCGTACATGCACGGTGAAGTCTGGAAGTGCATGGGCGTGTAGTCAAAATGGTATGTGTGTAGACAGGGCTTTACGTACAGTAGAACATATAGTATCGTGAAATGTAGACCACATGCTCCGTAAGCAAAGTATCTGGTCTTCTCTAACACATGGCTTAACTCGATATCGCGTTTGCCGGAGGCTCCTCGTGTTGGTGTATTCCTTAGCCGCGTTCAAAATTCAAAATACATTCGCTGCAGGTAAGATTGTGGCCAACACCCTTGCGTACCTTGCGCACGTCTTGCTCCGGCCGGTAACCGCTTTCAGCCGGCGATACCAGGATGTCGTATGCACACAGCAACAGTAGCCTCAACCAGCGGGCTGCGTTGGGATGGCCCGAAGCAGGATTGATGAGAATCACTGCTGTGGCATGTACAGTAGGCCATCGACGCGCGGACATTTTTTTGTCGGAACATGAGGCTAATATTTTGCCGTTTCAGTCCGCCAAACATCCAACATGAACAGCACGGAAATCCTGAAGGGGGCGCCGTGGATTCATCCCCCTGCAAGGACCAGCAACGACACGCAAAACAACGCGACACACAGCAGTCTTCTTGCTCGTCAGCGGTGGTGCATACGTTAGGTGAGGTGGGAAGGTGTCATTGTCGGGGAGTTGGCTCCGATGTCTGCTAGTTGCAAGGGTGTCGACTTGTCAACGACGTCAGTATGGACTCGAACCCCCCCACGCAAAAGACATCTGCCGCTGACTTGCGATTCCTCTCTGTACACACAGGAGAGCAAGCACTTGTCCCTTGCTTCCTGGCCTGCTCTCCAGAGTTTGGAGGGGCTGTGTGTCTTATGGAATCACTTGACTGCAAGGGAGAGGGACGCTTAAGCTTCCTCGTTTCACGTCTGCTCTGAAAGCGTAATCCAACGTTTGCGACCTTCTCAGGCTGCGGACACATACATACCTTGTCTCCGAGAACCTGCTGCTGTCCCTACTATTCATGATACCGGTACAATTATGCATATGTTTTCTAACTTAGCGTACCACCGGCGTCCGTGTCTCTCAGCAGGCGGAACATGTTGACCTCGCTCGCACGCAGCGGGCCGGGCGTGGCGAGAGCCGCACAGCGCGCGGCGGCACCGCTCTCCGTGGCACGGGCACCAGCGGCGGCTGCGGCAAGACGGAGCATGGGGGGTCACGCGAGGCACATCGGGTTGCCAGGAGAGCATGTGCCGATCGAGGTCAGCAAGGTGTACAAGACGCTCGGGACGGCGTACCTGGCCACCATGTTCTTTTGGATGATGTACCGGGCGAAGCAGGACGGATTGGTTCTTCTGGTACGTTCCCGGCTGAGTAGGGCGAGAGCTTCGGCGATGTTGACGGGGGGATTCCAGCAGACAGCGGGCACCGTATGCGACACGAGATGACGCCCCATGGACGGACCGATTTTTAGAGCTCGATTTCTCAACAGCAGAAAGAGTCGCAGCGCCGAAAACGGCGGCGTTGAAGCCGTCTCTCCGAAAACGGCGGCGTTGAAGCCGTCTGGTCGAGAGCTCTGCCAAAGCGTTTGTGCATCCTCTTCGTCGTCGAGTGATCGAGCTTTGACAATCGGTCCAGGGGGTGTGCTATCTTGTGTCGTATACGGTAGTCGTTGCACCAGGCAGGATTGTACAGCGACCTATTTTTGTGCTGAAACGGGAAAACGTTTTCAGCAGCTGTGCGCCGGAGAAGAGGCCGCTGTTGTGTGATCTCTGCTCTCGCATCAATACTGCTCAGTAAGAGGCATCCGAATTACAGCAGTTACGGTAGTGGGGATCCCCAAAATGGCGGTGGTGGGGAAGCTGATAATGGCCGCCTTGTACGGGGCAGCACCCGCCTTACTCAATGTGTATGCATAGAACAACTTGATTGTTTCGTCTGTGCATATTCCAGCCAATTTCACCGCCCGACGTGGGGCGACCACCTTACTTGGGTATGTCGTAGTTCATCCTAAATCGTTAGTACAGCAGTCGGCCGCTGTGGCAGCAGCTCATCGATGAGCGCAGCGGGCCCGCTCTCAGGTCAGCGCATGATGCCGTGCACCCGTCGGCTCGCCCGCGCACAAAGTCTGGTCGGTTTCCTTTGGGAAGACGACACAACAGGGTATATACCCTGGTCTATAGGCGACTCAGCTGGGTACCTGCTATTTGGCAGCTTCAAACGAGTCCAGCTGATTGGTCACCGTCAACGCTGCCGTATCCCGACATAGCCGGCTAAATTGTTTTCTCCACGGGCTCGAGTCTCGACGCGCGCGAGCAGAGTAACAGCCTTTTGCCGTGAATGACGCTTCAGTCTCTGAATTCGTGCCTGCATCTCCGCTTCCGACTTGGCACCTGCATCTATCTGTCATTGTGCGTTCGAGCCACCCTCACATCGGTATAGACGCACAGCCACTGACGGGCTGGCACACAGACGTTCGCCGTCGCGTGCAGTGGTTTTACCGGACCTGAATGCTATCTGAAAACGAAGGGTAAAACTCTTTTCTGTTTCCTGCGAACTTCATTACCGTATATGACACAAGATAACACACCCCCTTGGCCGATTTTCAAAGCTCGATTTCTCAACAGCAGGAAGAGTCACAGCGCCGAAAACGGCGGCGTTGGAACCGTCTCGTCGAGAGCTGTTCGAAAACGTATTGTTTCATTTATGCATCCTCTTCGTCGTGGAGTAATCGAGCTTTGAAAATCGGTCCAGGGGGTGTGTTATCTTGTGTCATATACGGTATAGGCCCGGGCCAGAGCATGCGTCGAGCCGTGGTGCGTCTCTTGGAAAGGATTTGTAGAGATAATTCATTTCGGCATTCGCAATCAGCGCGTTGCGCATTTTCGAAGTTTGTTCCCCTTCCAGGGACCTTGATTTTTTCCCACTGGTGCTCACGGTCTTGTCATTGGTCAGCCTGTTGACACGACCGATGCTTTCAATGAAACGCACACGTACATCTACGCACATCCTATGTTGCTGAATCATTTATTCGGCGTTCCTGACGCCATTAATTGTTCACAGCGAAGGCGATGGGTGGGCAAACCGGGGCAACGTATTTCTTTCTCGGTGTGGCGAATTTGCTTGATATCGTCAAATACGCTTGTGTGTGTGTGGTTTTTTTTTTTTATCTATTATATGTCTCATCTCGTCAATCCGATGATTCCGGATGCTCGTTTTCCTCGATGTGATGGTTTGAAGTTTGGGGTTGTAAAAGAAAATAATCAATTCAACCTAAGGAAGCAACGTTATCGTAAAATATTTTAAACTCGAAGACAAGGGAATCGGACGTCTGGTGGCGGTTTTGTATGTGCAATTTTTAGGTCACTACCAAGTAATTCCACCAAAACGCAGAAATATATGATTTACTAAATTATGTTATTACTTTGTTCTCGCCGTTCGTGAAAACATAGGGGCTCGAGCACCCGTGGGACCACATGGACGACCACCACGACCACGGTGCAGGCCACGAGGAGGCCGAGGACGAGGACGAGGACGAAGAGTAGGCGATTAATAATAGTTGACATCTACGGAGATCAAATCATCTAATGATGGTTGATATCTACGGAGATCAAATCATCAAAGAACGTGACATCTACGGTGATCTAATGATCAAAGAGTAGACTCATAGTCGACATCTACGGGACGATTCGAAGAGTAGAATGGACTGATCGTTGACACCTACGGAGATGGAAATGGTCAAAGAGTAGACTGACACCAAGTACTTGACATCTGCGGAGATCGAATGATCACAGAGTGACTGACAGTTGACACGTACGGAGATCACAGATGATCATACCTCTCACTCAGAACCGGCCGTGTTTCGTTTGACACAGATCAGAGCATCATCTTAGTTCTACTTCAGAATCGACCGTTGTGTTCATGGTCACGTTCTGCTGCTGCTGCTGCTGCAGAACCTTTTTTTGTTTGGGGGGGCGGGGAGGGTTGGGGGGTTTGGTTTACAGAGGTGATGCTGCGGCAGGGAGAATCCGTCGGTGTGTCGGGCCGAGGTAGACAACTGTGACGTCAGATTACGAAGGTCTCGTCGCCAGTTTTTTTTTTTTTTTGGCGGAGTAACGGGCGGTGGTGCAGAGAGGCCGCAGAGAAAACTTTTGATTGGTCACCCGCACCCCCGTCGGCTAGCGTGGGTGCTTGTGCGGGGCAAGCAAGCCCAGGCTTGGGTGAGGGTAGCAAATACTTCTTGTTACCCCTTGCTATGATGATGCACAGCTTGCTTCCAATGTCACCCGTCAGATGCTGCTACTCTTTGTGGTCGTCGAGAACTTTTGCCCTAAGTGGCTAAGCAGTAAATGCGAAGCAACCGAACAGCAACAAAAACCGTGACCTTTGGTCCTACTGACGGTGTTTTGAGTTTGCGCTTTCGCAACTCCTTTTTCCCATTCATGCGCTTCTTCGGCAAAGTGAACTACTTACGTTGGTATTTGCCAATTGCTTTGGCTACACGGAATGCAAGGTGTTGTGTCCATTTCGTGCAAAAAGGTGACAGCTGAGAACTTGGGATCATCTCGAACGGGTAGTCTCTCTTTGACTGTATGGATACTTTCTAAAGTTACAGATGCGCCGACGCAGAGGGACGTACCGCGGTAGACGTGCGGGACGAACACACACAGGTGTGTGTGCTGTCGATTGCTCCCCATACAAGCTGCCAACACCGAAAAGGGTTTGTAGATAATATTGGCAACAATCTCGTCCAGAGTTGTCATTCCTTGCACGCACCGGTCGGGTGTTCCTTAACCCTCTTGTTGGTTGTGGAGCAATCGATCTCTAAAACTGATCGCACGCCTGTGCGTTCGCTTGCACCTTAACGGCGGAACACCAAGCTCTACTCATGGAATCGGCGGCCTGATTAGTTGTGCCGCCGACAGAAACAGACACATTTCAGTGTGTACAAGCTAACTTGAGTACATTTCCACTCGCGTGCCGTAGCGCGATTTCACCGGTTGATTACAGAACGCGACCAGGAGTCAAGAAATTGAGCCTAAAACAATTCAAAATCCAAGAACCTGAGCACCATTTTGTGACCCCATACACCAAAACCTATATATAATAGTAACGATTCGTAGCATGACCCTAGGAACTCAGAAGTCCAGCCTCGGCCGAAACTATCAATAGAGGTTCTTGAGTGCGGGTTCTGTAGAGTAACGTTTCCATGTGATCAAACGGAGGCGTTCTCCCACCCCTTCGCGATCGGCCTAGCGTTTTGATCACAAGGACGTGAATATAAGGTGCAAAAAACGATTTTCTGCCTCGCCCTAAGTCTGTCAGTAAACCCACCGCTTACAGTTGGTGCCTCGGGGGACCGAATCGGGAATCGAAGTGGAAAATGACCAACACGGGCGTAAACCAGCAGCCAAACATTGCTTCTGCTCCGTCCACACCAACGCGCCTAATAAACGCGAGTCTCGTCCCCGGCTACCTTCAACAGCAACTCCAAGTCCAACCACGAGACCCGACCCAGCCAAGAGCGGTGTACAATTTTTTCAAGAAGACCCTGAACGAAGAACGCAAAGGGTCTTTTGGTTAGTTGTGTCCTTCGTTGGGTAAAAAAAGGACAACAATAGAAAGGGTTGCAACAAGACTATCCTGCAGCGACCGGCAGTCAGCATGGACTGCACGGTAGTGCCTGTTGCACCTCCGAGCCCTTTGTGCGTGGACGTCGCCCCCACCACAGGGAGATAGAAGCCCCGACGCCCGCACCGGGTACGCCTTCCAACGGCTTCCCCAACAGGTGCGTATGCTGTCCAACGGCTTCCTCAACAGGTGCGTATGCTGACCAACGGCTTCCCCAACAGATATGCATATGCTGTCCAATGGTTTCCTCAACAGATACGCATATGCTGTCCAACGGCTTCCTCAACAGGTGTGCAGTGTTCTCCAACGGTTTCCTCAACAGATATGCATATGCTGTCCAACGGCTTCCTCAACAGGTGCGTATTCTGTCCAACGGCTTCCTCAACAGGTGCGTATGCTGACCAACGGCTTCCTCAACAGATATGCATATGCTGTCCAACGGTTTCCTCAACAGATACATACGCATATGCTGTCCAACGGCTTCCTCAACAGGTGTGCATGTGTTCTCCAACGGTTTCCTCAACAGATATGCATATGCTGTCCAACGGCTTCCTCAACAGGTGCGTATGCTGTCCAACGGCTTCCTCAACAGGTGCGTATGCTGTCCAACGGCTTCCTCAACAGATATGCATATGCTGTCCAACGGTTTCCCCAACAGATATGCATATGCTGTCCAACGGTTTCCTCAACAGATATGCATATGCTGTCCAACGGTTTCCTCAACAGATATGCATATGCTGTCCAACGGCTTCCTCAACAGGTGTGCATGTGTTCTCCAACGGCTTCCTCACCAGGCATGCATATGTTCTCCAATGGCTCCCTCAACAGGGAAGGTTTCCAACAGCTTCCGCAACAGTTGCGCAGTCCAACGGCTTCCTCAAGAGGCACGTCGACCAATCGCTTCCTCGGCATGTTTCCGAGCACCGAAAGTACGTTGCGAGTTTCAAGATCCGTGGATACGTAATATTCCACCCCCATCACAGGGCACGACGCAGCCCTTGCCCACTCTCATCACAATCGTCGGACACGCCGATTTCTTCGCTCAGGTGGGACTTTATCGACGAGGTCGAGCACGTTGACGAAAAATAGAAAACCACACTACAAGCCGGGGTGGGGGGGAAGGGACTAAAACTACAAATGCGTGCATGGTCGTAGTCCCTAAGATACCGTAAGAGTCGGAGATATGGCAACCCCGTGCTATGCTATCGTTTTCGTTTAGCGTATTTTTCCACAACTAGGAGCGTGCGAACACCAACCGATGATGCCTCTTAGGAAAGCCCTCCACGAGATGTTTTCAAAACTACCCTTTTCGGCAGTGTAACAGTATCCCCCTGGTTGTGGTGAAATGCGCTACAAAAAAACGCTAACACGGGGGTGCCACCTCTCCGACAATTACGGTAGACCATTTTAGTTTTCGCGATGACTGCCGGGGCCGGTGATGTCAACCGTCGCATGAGGCAAGCCGTCGTGCCATCAGTCAAACGTAGCCACGTCTGCTTTGGCCACCTGGTGAAAAATTTCATGATCCGCAGCAGGGGTTCCGTGGGAAGAAGCGCGCGCGGGGGGGGAGTACGGGTTATGATCAGCCGTTCTTTCTGCATGGGAAGGGTTGTCATGAGAGCGGCAATAGAAATATTTGCGTGTCAGTTGACACCGACCAGGGAAAAGCTGGGGACCAAACCAAAAATTGAAGACGAGGTTTTCCTCAACTCCAGAGTAGGACACAACGACTCGAAACAATGCCTTTTAGCCTGACTAACACACCCACACACGCATCACACGCACACACAGACTAGAAAGAATGTTCGCCGAGGGACCTTGGTTGTACCCGCTGGCACTGAGGTCTTTCCATCGGCCGGACCGTTAGCGCTAGCGCGGTCGATGCTAACAATAACACACACACGCGTAAACAACAATCCCCCCCCTCCCCCTCCCCCCCCCGACTACGAGTACCCCCCCCCACACACACACACCTTGTTCTTCCGTTCCTCCGGTATCGGCAGTGCCAACTCCGACGGCTCGCACGGCTTCGGCTCGTGCTTGGCGAAGTACGGGTGTCGCAGCGCCTCCCTAGCTGTGGCCCGCTTGTCCGGCCGCAGCACGAGGAGCCGAAGCAGGAGGTCCATCGCATCGGGGGATGCCGCGGACAGGAGAGAGCTCAGGTCGACGGGGGGCTGCGGCTTGAACTCCACGAAGTCCGGGAGAGCGCAGTGTTCCTGGGGGGGGGAGGGGTAGTCATGTAACCGCGTGTCGTAAATAGTCGTTTTACCGCATCCGTACAATACCGGGACGGAACGATACGCCGGGTTTTCGCTGGCCGAAGCTAAGTTTCAAAAGGGAGGGGTGGTGGCGAAGTTGTGGCATTTTGTCGGAGGGGCGTGGTCGACCAATCAACTCCGCTCGTTTCACTCTGAGCAGAGGTATGTGCCCCGCTGAGTCGCTTGTTTTCAACAACAACCACCAGGGTATGTACCCTGTTGTGTGGATTACCCTCTCTCTCTGTTCGGTCGATGATCGTAAGAAATGTCGAGTGCTTAGTAAGAGTACGACGTGGGTCATCCAAAACAGCTATCGCAAAGAGGGCCGGCCAAAAAAATGTCAAACTGTGGAAACCAGTACCATATGTAGTAGTCCCTCATTCCGAGTGGAACGAGCGCCCAAAACCATTTCAATCGATATGGATTTTCGGCGAACAAAGAGGGGGGCAATGTGGAAGCCAGGATGTAAGTATCTTCCTAGGGGTAATGGTGCACATGCGACCAGCAAAGATCGTCGGACTACATGAACAATGTTCTACCGTCCGAAGACATTTGGCAGGAAAGAGTCGCCGAGCACCGTAACTATGTATGTGACTCTCGGACATGGGGAGATGGTGGCGAAAGCGCACGCTCCTCACTCTCACACCTTCCACCTTTCGTCAACTAGCTAAGCCGAGACTCTCGGCTACGCTTGGCACTTCCTCGCCACATTACAAGAAAAAGCGATTTTACCTCGGTTGGTGAACGGTTATTCACCACTTCAGGGACCCTTGCTCGTAACAGAGAAAGGGTATTCTCAAAACAAGGAAAAATAACGTTTTTGGAGAGCGTAACGACCGGTTTTAGAACCAAAGCTATTGTATGCTGCCATCACATTAAAACCGTTCCGACCACTGCTCAGGACCTTGAAATGTCCAAACTGATCCAGCTGACGCGGGTACCCTCTGTGGCCGTCCATAGACCTAAAAAAGAATACATGCCTGGGCTGGCATAAAGAATGAGCACCAAGATTCGAAAACGGCAAGCCTCTCATTGGCCCCACAGCAGTAGTACAACGGAAAAACAGAGGACCAGAGCAAACGCTCACCGGCCAGCTTTCGTCGGTGGGAGTTCCCATGACTTGGAAAATCCGCGCCACTTGGTCCACGTCGCTGACGCCCGGAAACAGCGGTCTTCGGCACATGAGCTCCGCAAAGATGCATCCAACCTTAACACAGAAATGTCGATTTGCGCAGTCGAGGGAAGCCGTTGTGGGATCGTGTGTCCGCAGCTTGTTGTTGCCGCAACAGGCGGGGATATGGCACCCCCCCCCCAGATCAATTTTCAAAGCTCAATTACTCCATAATCCAACCTTGAAACACATCGATTTGCGCAGTCGAGGGCGGTCGTAGTGGGATCGATGTGTCCGTGGCTTGTTGTTACCGCAAAAGGCGGAGATACGGCACCCCCCCCCAGATCGATTTTCAAAGCTCAATTACTCCATAACAAACATTGTGCTAAACACCAAAAACGGTGGTTTTGGCAACATCTCATCGAGGGTTCTTGGTCGACGTATCGCGCGTTTTTCCGCACCCCCTTGGTCGTGGAGCAATCGAGCTTTGAAAGTCGGTCTAGGCGGGGTGCCATCTCCCCGCCTCTTACGGTGTTGTTGCTGTTGGTGGTGGAATTGTCTTCATATCAATAATCGACCCGATGTCTGATCGAGGGTGTCCGCAGAACTTTATTCGCGGTGTTGTTACTAATGGTGATACTGCTGTCTCGATATCAATAATCGGCCTGCTGTCTGCTCAATATCCTTCCAGAGCTCACTCCCACAAACGGACTGCCTTCGCCAGAAGTTACGTTTATGCGGATATAGAACAGGGAGGGGGTACGCAGACCGTATTCCCTAACCCTAACCTACTAACCCAACTCCCCCGATTGCATACTTTATCCAACTTACTAATTGAATCGAAAAAAAAACGCCAAGGTTACAGCCACGAACTCACCGTCACGGGGCCCGAGGCCATGGCTTGTAGAAGCGCACGGAGGTCAACGTTTTTTCTTCAATCAGCCGGTTGGAGCGGTCGACACTAACACCCGCACACGCCAAACTTGCCACATCTAACATGTACCAACTTAATAAAAGTCCAGTTTTCAACACCAGTTTTCGCTCCTAAATTTCCAAATTACCACGTTCCGACTCTTCAGATTTCAAACCATATGGGAAAAAAACTCGTTCCGTTTCTTTCGGTGCCAGTCGTTTCCAAATTTCCGAACGCAATTCCTCGGCCGTAACTCGAGCTTCTATATATGGCCTACACGATTTGGAAACTTGGAAGCAAATTTCGGAACGTTCAAAAAAGCCTCGTTTCGACCACGATACCCAAGAGCTTGCTTACCCCCCACATGTCCACCGCCGCACCGTACTCGTGGCATCCGAAGCACAGCTCTGGCGGCCTGTACCATCGCGTGACTACCGTCGGAGTCATGTGTCGGCCAGGACTGCCGTAAGACCTCGCGAGCCCGAAATCGGCCAGCTTAAGCTTGCCGTCGCTTGCGTACAGCAAGTTGTTGGGCTTCAGATCCTGTTGTTGTTGTTGTTGTTGTCGTTTTCGTGGGGGTTGCGGTGGGCCGTTAGTTTGTGGGGGTGTTGTTGTTGTTGGAGCTGGTGGTGTTGGTGGTTGATGATGATATTCTTTTGGTGATGCTGATGGTCTTGGTTTGGTGTCGTAAAACTACCCACATACGATAGACACGCGGGGAGCTGTACATGATTTTCCGTACACGCATTCGCGGCTCAAGTAAACGATCCTACCCCGCTTGCGTTTGCACTCACCGAGACGCAGTAGTACGGCCAAGGCAATAACTGCCAAAGGCCGTGGAAGCCCCAAAACAGCCAGAATCAGAAAATAAACACTGCTGGTCTTCAGTCACCACTTTCAGGACAAGTCAACACATGGGCCAACGGTGCCTGTAAAAGCGTTTCCCGCTCGCCTAGGTACCCCCAGAGGGCGTGGGCGATGAGGGCTACTCTAAAGCTAAGAGAAAACGAAGAGCCAAAAAAACAGTTCTATCTACGCCATGCGATCTTATTGCCACGTCGACCTCTCTGGCAGGTCGGTGCCGTGAAATTTCTTCATTTTTTCGCCGCCGGCAAACCTTGCAAGTGAAAAAATTTCTTTGTTTTGTTACACTGCTGTACCGGTTGTGTAGGGTCATGCAGAACGTTTGGGCCCCATGTTTGGCGAGTCGCTCGCTGCGATGAGTTTTGTCGAGAATTTGGCCTGGACCAACGAAATCAAGCGGGAGGAGTGGGGGGGGGGGGGTCGCTTTCTCGTCCCATTGATCGTCCAGTTGCTATCAGCAGTCCCGTGGGCTGTTGCCACCGCTTTCTAATCGACGGCTTCTGGCTCCCTGCTTCTATCCTGTCGACGGCAATAATAGCGCTTTCCCCATTGCAGCCGTGACTTCCACACGTGACACAAGAACCACCACCCCATGGATCAATTCTCACAGCTCAACTCCTCCACGACGAAAAGCGTGTCAACATAAAATGGTTCATTTTTGGAAAGCTCTGGACGAGATCACTCCAACGACGCCGCTCTCGGCACCATAAATCTTCAGTCGATCTTTGATAATCCGTCCAGGGAGTGTGGCATTTATGTGATGCCACCTACGGTGTCAACATACAACACTGGCAGCAATGCTTGGAGCACCGTCTACCACTTGGTGCTAGCGGGAAATTGACAATTGTTGGTCCATTGTTCTAAAAAAGCAACACGAATTCATCTCTATCCACAGGTCATACTTGTAGTCTAGGATAAATTGGCAAGGGTTAATTCACAGTGGTGTGTTCTTGTGACATAACGGCGGAAAGTCTACTTGTACTCTAGGATGATTAAAAAAGGGTTAGTTCACAGTTGTGTGCTCTTGTGACATAACGGCGGAAAGTCTCCGTCGCTTCTTGCTCGGGGTTCTCAAACTCACCCTATGCAGCACGAAGTTGTCGTGCAGGTACCCGAGTCCCTCGAGCAACATTTTCATGTGGCATTTCACGTGCTCGGGCTTCAGGATAACGCTCTGCTCCATGAGGATAGACTCGAGGTCGGTCTCGCAGAACTCGAACACCAGGTTGAGGTCCTCGTGGATGAGAAAGACATCCACCAGCTGCGTACAGGACAAAACAAGACGCACGTACTGCTGTAGTCCCGTTCAGAAAAAAATACCAGGTGTGTGTAAGAACTGAAAACGTGAAAGTCTCCTTTCAGCAACTCTATCAGGTAGTTTATCCAAATCTGTCGTTCTCAAGATAATTTAAGAGACATTTATCTATGTAGCTGCACGCATTTTACTTAGACGAAAAACATTCATCCCCAACATCAAAACATATCGGGATCATCAAGACAGCAGTACTGGATACGACAAGGCACAGGTAGGTTGTCGCGTAAACGCTGCCATTTTTTCCGCACCGAAAATCTCTATGCTATGGAGTTAATAACAGCGTTGGAGATCGGTCCGGGTGGGGTGATGTCTTCTCACCTACAGTATTCCAAAGCGATTATTTTCCCCTTCGTTCAGCTCACGAAGTGCGATGCAGTACGCACATGTTTGCTTGCACCCACAATCATCAACGCTGTGCACGCCTTCGTCATGTGCGATGGGTACGTACAGCAAACCAAAGGACTATGCATACGTGTGTCTACGGGTACAGGTACGACAGAGCTGCAGCAAACAGTGGCAGGAGCGCATCCCAAACCCACCTCAATGATGTGATCGTGCTTGAGCTCCTGAAGAAGCTTGATCTCTCGCAGCGCCGTGAAGTTCGCCCCCTCCGTGTACTTCCCCAGCTTCATGGCGATCTTCTTGATAGCCACGACGCGCCCGGTCGCTTTTTGCGTCTGAAGCGATCATGATGAAGCACGAGCTGAGAAAAAAACATGTGCAATCTCTCCACATTTCCTCGGCTTACTCTAGAGAGTCCTCCATATATCCTGTCAAGGATGCTGTGTAAGTGGTTCTAATGTGGCATGTGTAATCGAGATTCTCGATGTAACGTCGATACGCGGTGCCACCGCTTGTAGCGGGCTGATATGATGCTTGCATTTCGTTCTCACCAAAGTGCGACCTAACCTCTCTCGTAACTTACCGCTGATGTGACGACACCCCATGCTCCCTCTCCCAGCTTCTCGCCACGCTCATAGTTCTCCATCCTCACCAGAGGGCAGAAGCACACTGCTCAAACACAGCAGTGCTACTGCCAGTCAGTGCTTGCTGGTGTGGTTTGGCAACAGGTGCGGCCGGAGTAGGGCACCGTGAATTTATTATGGGGGGTACCTCGCACGGTTCTCAGCGAGAACCTGCGGTGGGATAGCCGACGTCCCGAACCGAAAAAAACGGTTTACTTGTAGTGTTGCATTTTTGATAAATACTTGAAAATACGGAGTAGCATTAGTTGCACTTTTTCCACTTCTGCGGTCGGCCATTGAACTCAACCTCTTGCAGGAGAGGAAGAAGAGCGTGTCTCTGCAGGGCGGGAGCCTTGAGGCCGCTATGGGGTTGGGATGGAGGAGGAACTCGGCGGCCTCTCGACAAGCAGATGCGCAACAACAGCACCAGCACCAGCAGGAGGACCATTGTCACCATCAGCGGCAACAGCAGCAGCAACAGCGGCAATATGCGCTTGCATCGACAGCACCATCCTCTCTTCGGAAGGGCTCTTCGCCGGGGAAAGTCGTCACTAAGCGCACACAGGTAAGAAGATCCAGGCGTCGTCTGCCACTGCTGTGTAGGAAAGGTCTACAGCAGTACAAACACAGTCGCTTTGCGTGTGTGCCGGTGAGATCGGGACATTGGGTCTAGTCTACAGGACATTGTAGACTGCTGTATGTATTCCTCCGCGATTCCATAGCGATGCCCACGTGCATGCTGGAGGATGTCCGATACTCGGCTGTGCGTTATCGAAGCGTTCGAGGAGATGCGGCTGATGTTTCGGGCACAGATGCAATGTACGCAGACTATGCTGTAGTGTTAGCGTTGGGCGTTCAGAAGGGCACCGGTTGGACCCTCTCGCTGCCGTCAGCTCCGCGACGATGAAAAAAGAATCGCCGAGACCAAAACATGCGCGTTGTTGGTTCTCACTAGTCACCTCGTAGTTGGAATGTTGAAACCCGATTCTCTCTCTTGAGTGCAAGAAAGTAATCGAAGCTTGCGGTCGAGAAAACGCTCGCCTTGGCGAGGGAATGATACGGCTGAAACTTTCTTGAGACAGTACAGTAGACTGGGACAAGCGCCGAAGGAGGAAAGGTGTGGGGAATAAAAACAACTACTGCTGTATGTACAATACACCGGAACACACACACGATACGTGTACGTTTTGCAAGAACACCCACGACGCACCAAATAGTCCACAGCAGTATTTTCTCGGCGCCTGGGTCTGCTGGATGTTCTGTGTCAAGCGTGCGATGGGAGTCTCCAGGTTCTGCGTGGTGCAAGTTCAACGTTGTATTTCTGTCTATCATGAGCTGTTGGAATACGTCAGTCAAGATACGGTTGGGCGTGGGTCCATCGAACCTCGGAAGCTTCGGTGACACGCCGACCTCCTCAGCAAACATCCCGAGCTTTCCAACAGTGCGCCCAAAAAACCGTGCCCCGATATATAACGTTTACTCCTTTGGATAAGCAACCCACGGTTCCGCCCCAACGAACGCCGGGCCTGCATGCGTTCTGTGTGCTGATGCTCACTGTACAGGTCCGGGACGAAATCATTTCGTCCGAGGAAACGTATGTAAAGGAACTACGCACACTTGTGATGGTCTTTCTCCGGCCGCTCGAAAAATGGGCCGCCGAAGGCATGAACGGACTGGACGTTCCTGCAGGTGGGTTAACGTGAGAAGCCTGGCTCGTGGGGCTAGCACCCTCTATGTCGAGCAAACCCTCAGAATACCTCGGCTTTCTTGTCTTGGTGGGTGTGTCACGGCATCATTTTCTCGTCTAGCGTGACCCACCCAATGCCGTTGGGGTTCTCACACAATCCTCCTTTCTACGACTAGTTTTGATCGCATAAGGGCTCTATTGTGCGGAGAACGTAGACAGGGAGAAGATGCACCGGGGAGTATCGAAACTCGTGGGAGCGTCCACCTACAGCAAGCTCCTGGCACCATATGATGTGCTGTGCTTGTTTTTGTGCGTGCTTTGTCGATGGTAGACCCTGACCGCCACAGCAGTACGGTCATGAGCAGAAGGGTACCTTGAGAAGGCGGAAGCATCACAGCAGTATGGGAGTGAAGCAGGAGACAAATACCATCTCGTACTATGAGTCGCCATACATCCCCCCCACCTGCGGCGATTCTTCACGCTCAACTTCACCATAACGAGTTTCCGATCGACATTTGCACGTGGAAACTAATCTTCCTGCGAGATTATTAAACCTCGCCCTAAGCGTGTTGGTTCCAAGAATATTGCTTGACCTTCAATACCGTTCCTACGGCGGAAAGAACCAGCGCCTGCTGTTTGTCTGTGGTGCTAGTCGCTAAGGGCATGGTACATGACCGCAGCTTCAGGCTATTGGTCATGACTACGTTGGATATTCCTTAGCTCATTCCACAACTTCTCGAAGCAACACCGGAACCACCTATCTCGGTAGCAAGACGACGGCGCCTGCCTTCGGCTTCTACGACTGTCCGCAGGAAGCGTGTCCGAGATCTTCTCCAACGTGGCGGCAATTTTGGAATTCAACGAGCGGTTCTTGTCGGACCTCGCCGGTCGCCACGGCGAGGAAGTCGACGGCAGACGAAGAGGCATTGGCACCACTTTGAGGCGGCAGTCCCTGGACATGTTTAAGCCGTACTCGGTGTACGTCAAGAACTACCCTCAATCTCTGAAAACGTGAGTGTTGTTTTAGCGGTGGGTGGCTGGGGTCGAGGTTTAAAAACACGACTGGGATCGGTTCTTTCAACAACCACACAAAAGGGATCGTTTTATTTCAGCAACCATACCATAGAAAACGAGAGATAATGGGATGGCCATGTCCATGGTGGTACCGATCTACAGGGTCTCTGGGTACGCGGGCGAGTGAAGACGGAGTCCCCACTTGCTCTGCGTCTCGGTGCCACTGCTGTAACCGTCACTGGTATGAGTCGCTCTTTTACAACTTCTCTTCGAGCGGTCCTCCGCTAACAACCCTATCCCGGACGCTAGCCGTAAGAAAACTGTGTGCACATGTGGCAATTTGTTTTTGGTGAGGGTGCAGGCGAGGGGGAAGAAAAATTCACGGGATATTATGAGTGAGACCGCGCTTCAGACGTGTGCGACGCAACCCCCGAGGTCCTCAAGGCTAACCAACCCACACAGATCCCGCTCCATTTTCGACTACGGTAGAGGTCCCTGTTTAGTGCCGATTGAATAGTGCCGGTGCCCGGTATAGTGCCGGTGTTTTCGGCGGGCAAACGCTAAATTCCCAAGTACTTCTCAGTACTTTGGAAAGTGCCGCTCCGGCAAAGTGCCCGTGAATTTTCGGGGCAAATAACGGCGCTAAACAGGGCCTCTACTGCTGTATCTTGCGATCGCGAACGGCTGTCCTCTAAACCACAGCCTCGCGGCCTGCGAAGAGTTCTCCGAGTTCAACGCGTTTATTCGGGGGTGCGAGCACCAGGACGCGTGCCACGGGCTGGACCTGAAGGCGTACCTCATCCAGCCGGTGCAGCGGGTGCCGCGCTATCGGCTCCTCATCATACAGCTGCTCAAGCACACCAAGGAGTCGCACCCTGACTGGGCGGATCTGAACGCGGCACTAGAAACCGTGAGAAATTTTGTGTTCGTGTCTAAATTTACTGAGCGAAACAACTGCGCGGACAGCTGTGCTCGTGTCTAAATAGTGGAGGAACAGCTTCGTGGTCTTTGACACCTGCGGCTTGAACGTGATCGTTCAGTCTGTCTAGTGAGAACACACTTGATGGTCTGAATGCCTGTGAACTGCCGTATGTAGTAGACAAGAGGTGTTTGGCTTCCCTCCACTTGTGTTGGAGAAGGCGTGTGCCGGCACTGAACGCACAGACATCTGTGAGGGGCTCTCGGGTTGGAGGTATCGGAAAATCAGCGTGTTGGACGAATGCTTTCGTGGAGGTGGGGGGGGGGGGGATGACGCTTGTTTTGTTCCCGGCGAAGCTTGAAGGCCACTCAGACTACGATCGACGGCAACAACGGTAAATATCGGCAAAAGAAAGAAAGCAGTCCCAAAAAACACACACGTACGTATACACGGGAGCCAATGTTGTAATTTTCGATGTCTCGGCCACTGCTTCTTCCTCCGATCGGTCGTGGCTAGGTTTCCAGTACGGTGACAAAGCTGAACGAAGGCGCCCGGGATAAAGAACGCTTCGTGAGGGCATTGGAACTCCAGTACGAGTTCAGAGAAGATTTCCTAAAGCCCTCAAGGTGACTGCCATGTAGATATACCGTAGTCTGGCATGACGTTTCGACCGTTCTTTTTAGCACGAAACGTGGAACGACACCAACCGAACCAGCCGGACCGGGGTGAAAAGCAATAGTATGTACTCGTAGAACAGTTCCCCTTTGGTGGTGTGTACCGACAGTTCTCCTTGATAGTGTGTACTGGAAGACAGTTTGCCTTGGTATTGTGTACTTGTAGCAGACAGTTTCCCTTGCCGATGGGTTCGACATACTAGCACTGCTTGCTGTTGGTGCGGAACCCCCGTGACGTGTGTCTCTGTTTCTATTTGATGCTTTGCCTCCCCGTCCCGACTTCCCTCTCCCCTGCCTGTCTACAAAACGTCGCGTGCTCACGTCGGGCGGATGAACGATGTTTGATGACACTGTACGTACATGGCGGTATGCTTTGGAATACGATGCCGCGTACGAAGTATCTCGTCAACCCCTGACCCTAATCCTATCAAGCAGATACGAAGTCCAACACCGCAGACTAGCCTTCGCGCACCGAGCTGTGGATGATGGCGTGGATGGTGTCTTACCTCTGTTGCATTTCTCTACAGTTTCAAGGAGGTTCCCCGAGGCTTTTTACGATTTTGGATTTTATGTCCCCTAACCTAAAAAAAGTGCGCCGGAACCTCAGCAAACATCACTGCTATCCCTTGGAACGCGATTCTGCGTGCGAAGTCATCTCGTGAAGGAGGGATTCTTGCTCAAGGTTTGCAACGGAGGGCCCCGCCGATACAAGTTCGTTCTGTTCTCGCACATGCTGGTCTACGGAACGGAGGCCAGCCTGCGGGCGAAGCTTCAGCGCGACCACCGCAAATACAAGGTGGGAATTATTTTTCGTTTGAGTGCTTTACTATCTTCGCTGAAGCATTCTGACAGTCATTTTGGTACTTTGGTGAAATCGTTGAGATCAATGGTTTGGTGGTCATGTTGGACTATATTTGTGTGGAGCGACTTTTGTTGAAATTTTCGCTGTGTAGGGTTGTACGAACAACAAAACGACGCTCAGGAAGAGTGTGAATGTTTTTCGAATAGTTTCGCTGCAACATTCCTCTGTGATATATTTCGAGGCGATGCCGGTGATATTGCCATTGAAGAGACACGCGCGAGTTACTTGCCGTGCGCACGGCGTTGTGTGCCGACTCCTGTAGCTGTTGGATGCAAACACGAGCATGGTGCCGCCTTTGTGTCCACTTCCTTTCCGGGCGTAACGTGCAAGAGAGCCGTGCGGCTTCCCTACCGTCGGTATGTGCCCTTTGTCCCAACACCATTGCGCCACATACTCGAGGTGGCGTTTCGGGTTTCCTGCCGTACGACGTATATCCTTTCCCATACCCGTTGATTCCCTGAGTCTTCGTTTTGTTCGTTCGTGCTTCAGTGCTGCTGCTGTGGTGCCAACCAAACAAATATGTCGGTATTCTATAAATTGTCACGGTGATATTCGTTCATGCTACTGCTGCTGCGGTGCCAAGCATAAACTGTTGTGGGTATGCGGTGGTGACAGCGAGCTATGGAGTCTCCTGTGGTTGACCCAAACTCGGTGTATATATCAACCACGCCCAAGGACGAGACAGAGTGAGCATGCCATGCGGAGCATCAAGTCATATCACACTTTCTGCCTATGACTTACCAAACCCGCAATGCCGTATTTTGTCTCCGTCATATCGTCATCACTAGGTGCACGGACGGATCCCTCTGCATGAGTGCCTCGTGCTGGACTACGGCAGCAGCGACTCTTTCGCGATCGCGCGGTCGAGCGGGAAGAGCTTCGTGGCCATGGCCGTCTCCGCGGAGGCGAAGCAGGTGAGCGAGGCTCACTCTCGGGAACATGACAAGTGCTGCTGTGCATGCAATGCGCTAAACGCTTCATCGAACAGCGGGGTGTTGGTAGAACAGGTGTGGGGATCGCCAGACTGAATGGTGCAACCGTCCCAGAAAACAATATGGTGTAGGCGAAATCGCGCGACATTGATGGGACATCTACTGCTGTCTCATTTCTCCGAATAGTGCCGATAACCCGGAACAAAGAAGAATATTTACGTATGGACAACGATCGATCAACTTTTTTTAAAACTGCAAGCATACTCTGCCAATGGGACGCACACACACATTGTACCGCATGAAAATGAAATACAACCGAACCTTTTCTAGAAATGTTTGTCCCGAACGGCAACGATGGTGAACAAGAAAACAACATGGCGGCGGTGGTGACCACGCACGCGCAGGCATGGCTAGACGCCTTCGAGGAAAGTTTCGCAGGGATCAAGGATAACGCCCAACAGGACGACGGCAATCAAGGTCAACGTTCACTGCCGCAGCAGCAGCCGACAAGAAGAGGAAGCAAGAACCGCGGAGCGCCTTCGAGCCCCACCTCGGAAGCGAACAGCAGCCGCAGAGCTTCCGAGGATGACTGGACCTTGGCCTTGCCTCCTGCCACGCGACAGGAAGATGATGGCCGCGTCGGTGCAGGCAACGCCAACAGCAGTGCCGGTGAGTTGATTGTTGTTGCTGTGGTTATGCAGTTACCCGTTTATTCTGTTGTTGTTTGCCGTTTGTGAGCGGTTGTTGCTGTTGCTGCCGCTGCCGTTGCTGGTGCTGTTCGTGCCTCGGCCTTTGTTGTTGCTTTCTCCACCTTAAGAACGGTTCCCACCACGTTTACAAACGGGTCAGAACTAGCTTCTTCACGCAGTAGTAGCGACTACAAACAAGCAGAGAGGCGTGGAGTCTTGAAGACCGTTGGCCCCTTCCAAATGCAGACATTTGACGTCAACAGCGGCATTCATTGTGTGAGGTCATGCCGTGAATACCCTCCTTTTGCGGTGATCATCGCTTTTGTTGCCGCTTTTTAATACATGTTTCCGTTCGGTTTACTTAGCATACGACGTGAATTCCGTGCTTGTGTAGGTCTCTAGCTTTACATGCAACTGTCGTCTTCCTCGTTGAACATCCATTCATTTATCCTGGCTTTGACCTGAAACTCATGATGAATTTAGTGCTGATGCCTACGCCCCAAGCGAGAATTTTGCGCCGGACCTAGCGTTAATATCTCCGTGATGGTCAGCCTGTGGGCGTTTCCGTCGTGCCGAAGCTCCTAGTATCTGTGGGGCGGGCGGCCGTTGTCAGTTTCCACTTGTACGCCAAATGATACTAACGTTTCAGCAATGTCCAAGGAGCCGCATATTGAAGTGCTGCCTTCATCTGCGCTCTATTTGAAGCAAGCCCACCCACGATTGACTGATTGATTGTCAGCGCCCCTCGTGTGTGCTGACGATCGGAGCGGCGACATGAACGTTTCGTGATAACGCGGGTGCGCAGGGCACTCCGCCGAAGGCGGCATGATCGGTAGGGATGGGGAAGAATGCCCCCCCCCCCTGTCGCCTCCAGCGAGACCAACAAAGCCTCATTTGGGATTCCCGAGCGGGGGAGCAACGCTGGCACAGACGGTGGCCGCTTCAATGGCCATGCCGGGTCGATGGTCGCTACCAAACGGCGGCGGTGGCGGCGGCGGCGGGAGAATGTCCTTGGCGTCTCATGCTACCAGCGGTGGTGGCTCGTCTCCTCGGTCGGCGCAGTCTTCATTTTCGAGACGGGCTGGCGTTCAGGTGCGGGTGGCCAGAGGATGTCCTTGTTGTTGTTGTTGTTGTTGGTAATCGTGGTGTTGTTGATGCTACTGCTGCTGCTGCTGCTACTGTTGCTATCGTCGTCATCGCTGTCGCAGCCATGCACGGGTGTTTCAGCTCGACTCGTAACACCACATGCGTATTGTCCAGAGCGCGCTAACGAGCTGTCACATTTTCGTTTCTCGTCGAAGAAGTCGTGAAACACAAGTCCTACTTCTTTCCAATCGGTACCGTTCTCATGTGATCGGCATGTTTTCGACATTGTTGGTCCCTCACGTGGTAAGCGGAGGGTTGTGTTTCACCAGTCAACCACAGAACGAGAAAACTACCGGTGCGTGTCGATATCTGTCTCCTGTTTTCACTTGTGCGCGTTGTCGATATAGTTGGTTCCTCGCGTGGTAAGCTATCGCTTGTGTTGAACCAGTTTACCGCAGAGTGAAGATACAACCCCACACTACTTGTATGCACTACCGGTGCATGCCGATTACTGCTGTCTCCTGTGTGCACTTGTACAGGTGTGGGTGCCGGTACACGGGCGTACAGAGATGCACGAGATCTCCTTGCGAGGCCTCCCCGCCGGCTCCACATCGGGTCTCTTCAAGGTCCAGGAAGGGGTGAGACCCGTGCCGGGGCCCCGTGGTTTATTTTTTCCTGTGTGCGGTTTACCCGTAAAACAAGTTGGTTCTCTTCTACTCGTGTTGAGAGGGGTCCCCTCTTGTTCAACCTCTGATTATGGTTCATTGTTGCTGATTCTATCGTGGCAAAACACGAAAGAGATGGTTTGTGTTTGTGGTCGCTTAGAGGTCATGATATGTCCAGGTGACACCTGGGCTCCGACTGTGGACAGCTTGCGTCATGGGCTCCCACAGCTTTGTGGTAGTCCGTTACCGAGAGCACACCGGTTCTCTTTTCGTCGCGAGATTTGAGCTAAACCCTATGACCCTAACCCTATCCCCAGCGAGGAAACGGCCGAGAATAGAACAAGCGAGGCCCCACCTGGAGGGGATTACCCTGTCCATGCAAGATTGTTGCGCATGCAAGAGATGTGCTTCCATCAAAAGCAGGTCTCCTGATTCCCAAAAGGGTCCCGAAATCTTCGGACTAATGTCCTTCCCGGCTTTTCGCGTGCGTGTGCTTGGACACTGCCCTTCCGTCACAACTTTTTGTCGTCTACACATCATCCACGATTTTGTCGCCTGTTGTTCGTGCAACAACGTTGCAACGTTTTCGGTGTCCGCCCAGAGGGCTTCGTGGACTGTATGTTCTTTGTTTTAACAGTGCCGTCGAGGTCTGGCAAGAAGTGACGATCGTTGTCCAATCTCACGTTCTTGTTTGGCTCTGCTCGCGTGCTACCTTGAAAATACGTGTCTTCCCCCTAAAACAAGAGGGCGTATGTAGCAAATGCTGGATATGTTGTGAACGTCCTAAAAAAGGGAAATGACGACGGCAATGGTAAGACCATCAGCAACAACGTGGGGGCGAAGTTCGCTGAAAGTCCTAGACGATAGCACACCACACCCAAACAACATTCGACGAGCGGGCTCGCGCTCTTGTGACATGGCTCCCTCTCTCGAAGGTCTCTCTTCGTGCGATAACGCTTCTTTTTCTTGCGGTGAGACTTTCTGTTCTTGCGCTAAGACCCCTTCTCTGCGGTACGGTCTTCCTCTTCCGACAAGCCAACTCTGGGTGAATGAGAGCGTTGCTGATCTTGTTGGCCGTCTGTTCTGAGTTCTACACTCTGCGCACCTCTCGCGCGTTTGCTTCCGTCTGTTTTTTTTTTCCACTGGAGGGGGCAAGCAACGACGATCTCAACAACAACGACGACGACAAATACGCCTCCGGTGATACCAAAGGTGGCGGCGATCTGCCCCCCAACGGCCCCAAGAGGAAGCCGCTAGCAACCACCTTCCCGGGTGCGAGGAGCGCAACCACAAGACTAGCCGCGTCCACCAGTCGGCAAACTACGAGATCACCTTCTCCCGGACGCCACTACGAGGGAGATTGGGTAGGGGGCACCGTGATCGCGGCTGGTGGGGGGGGCGGGACTGCCCGCGGCACATATGGAGGAAGCGGGGGCAACGCGGCGGAGGGTGTTGATTGGCGGGTAGGGGGGGGTTCGGAGGTTGGTGCCGACGGGAGTGCAGACGTTGATGGCGGCAGGGACGGCGGCGGTTTGGCGAGGGGGCGGCACGACTCCACGGGGCTTGCCGACCGGGCGGAAACGGAAGGAAGAGGACGACCAAGAAGAAGGCTTCCGGCTATGGTGAGGAGGAAAAATCAAGACTTCATGCTCGTGGGCGCAATATTAACGACTTTCCTTATTTTTTTGTTTCGAGACAACATGCCATAACTAAATATGATGTGGGTAAATAAACCAGGCGGGAATAAGCACTCGAACGCAGGGCAGAGGGAAATACCGCTTAACAATAAGGCGAGGTTGACGAGAAAATCCAGGAGAAATGTGTGTAGGCCAGGTGGCAGTGTTGCACTCGTCGGTGGAGACTATAGCCTCACGAACAGCCGTCAAAAGCGGCTCGTGGTTTACGGTGGAGATCGCACATTCAAAAAAGGACGAATTAGTTCTTCGTCTGGATGACTTGGCGATCGGAACGTCTAGCTAGTTAGTGCAAAGACAAGCGTCGAAGTACAGGAACATACAATACCATTCTTGGGTAAGTTGGCCTGTGACCACGGGAATCGACCCCGTCGAGTGCTAGACTAGTACGGACAGAAGAAGGTACTGGGCAGAGAGAACGGAACAGTTATTAATGTGAAGACAACAACAACAACAACTCTTTGTCCTCTCCACGGGCAACGGTTTGGGATACTTGGCGCGGTTTCTCCCCTCTCCGACGGCACTTGCCGTAGGCTGCATGAGGTGTGTAGCACACCCCTTGGACTGATTTTCAGAAGTTGATTACTCTGCAGCAAACCCAACGGCTGTGCCGAAAATGGCGGCGCTGGAGCCATCTCGTCGAAGACAATGCATAATTTGATTGTTGCGTCCCCGTTTGTCGTGGTGGTATCTTATAGAACGTAAGCAAAAATACAGCAACGCCATTTGCTCTAACCAACCACAGACCTCCCTTTACCTTTCTTAACGGTAGCGTCGGCCATCCTGGAGATATGTCATTTAAGATTTTGTCCATACTGCGAGGATGACGACGTCAGACTCAACCGTGGCCCTACAGTACTTCTTGGAGAATACTATAATAGCCTCCTATACCGAGGGTCACGGGTGCTCTATTATTGTTCAAGATGACGCCAGTATTCAGCATTGGCCCTAAAGTAAAATGTTTCCGCCTCCGTCATAACGAGGTCACGATGCCCATTTGTCTTGCAGTATTCAGCAGTATTGTAGGGATGCTTCCACCTCCTTATAACGACGTCATGGTGCTGCTTTTCTGAGCAAGGATCACGTTAGTATGCAGCAGCATTGTGGGAATGTTACCGACTTGTGATAACGAGGCCACGTGCTCATTTATCGTGCGAAATTCCGCCGGAACGACGACCTTTGTTTCATGCCAGCCGTCCGCGCAAGCTGTGGCCGAGATGCAAATGCTGCCCTTCTCGGACGAAGGGGGGAACAGCAGCGATTCCGGAAGTAACGATGATGACCCCTCCAGCGTAAGACATAGCTCCGGAAGCAACGAAGCCCCCGCCAGCGTAAGACGCAGCTAGCTCCGGCTTTTGCGTCTGCTTGTTTTTTTTTTCGCTGCAACGATGATGCTCCCGCCAGCGTAAGACACAGCTTCGGCTTTTCGTGTGTTTGCATTTCTTCCGCTGATCGGTGCATTTCTTCCGTCATCGCGGTGCCACGTAGTAGTCGTTCATCAATCAAACCGTGGCGAAGGGGGCTATTCGAAAATTGTTTTTTTCTCAAGGTCTTCGGCCATTTCATGTTCTGGCTGGCGGGACGTCATTGACGGACCTAAACGCACTACGTTCGGTCCCCCTTAGGGTCGGTCGTCGATCTTTTGCGGTGCTATAATATTTCTACAACAACATGGCAGCCACAGAACCTATGCAGGTTCGTTTCTGAGGCGTATTTTTCGAGGTCGAAACCGTTTTCTCTCCCCCCCCGGGAGAACAGAGCACGAGGACACGAGGTTCTAATGACACCCACAAGTAGTTGGTAGTGCACCGTATCTGTTTCAGCCCACGTGTTTTGCATTATTGTAGTGCGACGTGAATGACACCCACAAGTAGTTGGTAGTGCAACGTATCTGTTTCAGTCTACGTGTTGGGCATCATTGTAGTGCGACGTGTCTGTTAAGTCGGCATGTAAGTTCCGGAGTCTTTTCCGACTGACGGGAAGGCGGCGTTTCGCGCACAATACCGATGGCCGGACGACGCAGGCGGTCTGTTAAGGTGTGCAGCATTTCCACTCTGCTTGTCGCTGACTTGTAGACAGCATATCCACTATGCTACAAGTCAGCGCTGACTTGATGTGCTGACTCGTAGAAATTTGGATATTCCGTACCGCTGACTTGTAGCATGGTGGATATGCCGTACATGTTAACACGGTTGTGTTCACTCGGTCTCCCTGTAGAGAGCGCGTGCGTGCCTGTGCTCATCATCCTACCTCCACGGAGCCGCCGCTGACGACGTAGACACGCACCAACATCAAACAATTCAGCGAGAATGGCTGAAGAGCATTGTTGTTTTCGTGCATCTCCCCCTCGCCTCTGGCGCTGTCGTGACAGATTCAGGCTGTAGCGGCGAGTTGGCGCCTGACGGGAGACAGGGGCAAGTTTCGAAAGATGCTGGCCAAGTTCGAGGCTGGACCACGCACCACACCAGGTACATTTTCGAGCCTTTGCTAGCTGCAGCGGTTCCGAATGCTTTAATTAATACTTTCGAAGACATTCGGGTAGAGAAGAGCGATATCGCTGTTTCTCTCACCACACGCAACATGCGCGTCAAAAAATCACGGCACGGGGCGACAAGCAGAGCCATGTTTGTCGTGCTCCATGTCGGTCGCATGGATTCATCCAAATCTCCAATAGTGCGAGCGTGGGTGGGTGGTGCACGTGTTGGTTCACACTATGAGCAAGCGCCGGACACTGAAAGATATACCGCAGGTTGCAAGATATGTCACACCCCCTGGACCGACTTCCGAAGCTCGATTACTCGGCAGGAAAAGCAGTGACGATGACGAAAATGACGGCGTAGGAACGGTCTCGCCGAGAGCTTTCCGAAAACGTACCGTAAATTACCCTTTGATTTATGCATCCTCTTCGTCGTGGAGTGTTCGAGGTTTGAGAATCGGTCCAGGGGGTGTGATATCTTGTACAATTGCCTACGGCATGCTGTCTCGTTTTGTTTCTTTGACGAGTGCTTCGGAGTACTCCAGGGTATGTGTGTGTATTTTTTTACGAAAAGTTCAGAGTGCACCCGGGGAAGGGAGAAGAAACACTGAACGATGTATGCTGTGTGTGTATGTGTGTGTATGTGTGTGTGTATTTTTTTACGAAAAGTTCAGAGTGCACCCGGGGAAGGGAGAAGAAACACTGAACGATACACAAAAATGACAAGAAATTGTGTTTTTTTTTTGTTATTTGACGAGTATTAGTTCAGAGTGCAACCGAGGAAGGGAGAAGAAACGCTGAACGAATATCCGAAATGCAAGAAAAATAATTGTTATTTTTTTGTTGTTTGGCGTGTACTTCCGAGTGCAACCGGGGTAGAAAGAGGAAACACTGAAAGATACGTGCCGTGTTTTTTTTTTTGTTGCTTTTTTGCTTTTTTGACGAATATATCCGAGCGCAGCTGACGAAGAGAAAGGGAACGCTGACGAGGAGACGCAAGCTGCAGCGGCAGCAGGCGGGAGAAGAAAACAAGCTGTGGAGCCGGACTTAGGCTGGGGCGATAGCGTCAAAACAAGGTAGTGGGAGTCACATTCAGCAGCACTTTTCTTGCCGCTGAAGTAAGTGTGATGGTTCTAGCATTTCTGTGACCACGGACCGAGTCTTTTCCTAGATTTGGGATAGCAACTGACGTACGAGTTTAATGTGAAGACAACAACAACTACAACAACAGCAACAACAACTCTTGCTCGAAACGCTGTGTCCCTCTTTGATGCAGCTTTCCCGGTCTGTAGGATTCCTCTCCGGCGAGTTGGATTGGTTCCTCGAACGTTGCAGAGTGCTACTACAGTACGCTTGGGGAGATTGTACCCTTCATGAGGGAATCCCCACATATGTCCCCCGAAGAAGCCTTCTTGCCTATTATAGCATTCAAGAAGAGTCGAAAAAGGGGGGGGTAAGTGGAGATACGGCAGTCACCCTCTTTTCACACGTAGAAAAGCCTCTCAAATTTAGCCCGTTCCCCATCAGAAGTCCTTCGACCCGCCACCGTGAAGACCCACATGACCGCATCCATCCCCTTTTGAGAATAGTCTCCAACGCGACGTCCTTCTGTGATATCTGCACTCACTCAAACTACAACAACAACAACAACAATACACAGTGTCGATGCCATGTATGAGACTCAACGGTCTCCACTTCGTTGTTTGGCGCTCGGGGCAAAGCCCAATTAGCACTTGCCTACGAATCACGTTCGTCTCGCGAAGTCATCTGTCGAAAGGATCGGAATCTAGCGCGAAACCTTTGCACAGAACAGCACACATGTATCAACGCGCGCCGGTAAGCGTAAGGGTAAAAGGTAACATCCATTAACATCGGAATGAAGTATTTCCGAAACTTCCTAGACACGCTTGAAATATGAGTACAGTGGGTAGGGGCCTTTTTTGCGCAGGTTTGTGCCTGGAGAATTGACGGCACAATAACGGGCACCGGCACTATTCAACCAACCGGCACTAAGGGCCGTTTTAAACGCAGCGCTATTTCGCTCCAAATTTCCAAATTTCCAACAACAAAAATTGGAAAGGTTCCAAAAACTTGGAACGAACCATTCCAAATTTTTCGGCCCCTACTTCTTTCCAAATTTCCAAATTATCATAAAGAAAAATGTTGTGTGGGCGCCGCAAATCGCCGTTCCGTGTGTTTTTGGAACGAAATTTTTGGGAATTTGGAAAAAAACTCGCCGCGTTTAAAACGGCCCTAAACAGGCTCCTCCACTGTATATCCTATGATGTGCGAAAATATTGATTTAGATCCACATTCGAAACGTTGTTTTTATCTTCCACAGTCGGGGCGAGCAACAGACCGCGACAAAGAGGCAGCGGCAGGAAGAGGGGGGAAGAGAGAACGGGGAGAATGAGGACGATGCCGAAGAGGACAACGAGCGTTTCGCTTACATTTCCAGCAGTGTGAGCACCAGTTCCAGCAGCCTCGAAACAGAGCACGTCAACCCCCTGGCCCTCATGCGAGGTACGTACGTGTAGAACGCATGAAATTCGTCTTGATATCTCAATACATCCGTCGTGGGCTCCGATACAGGAGGGCACCTTGTAAGAGCGGGCTCCGATGTAAGAGGGTCGAAATCGGTTGTCACGGACTCGAGCCGTTAAATGTTTATTCCGGAGTAAGACGTGTTGTTGTTGTTGTTGTTGTTGTTGTTGTTGTTGTTGTTGTTGTTGTTGTTGTTATTGTTGTTGTTGTTGTTGTTGCTGCTGCTGCTGCTGCTGCTGCTGCTGCTGCTGCTGCTGTTGTTGCTGTTGTTGCTGTTGTTGTTGCCGTCGTTGTTCCGATCCTACCTCTAACCATCGCACTATTCCAACCGATGGGACTTGGTGGGACACAAATCATTTTATGCGCCTCGACAAAAGCAACTTGCCGTCAACCTGTTCGAGTTTTGGTTTCTGTTGTGCCCTCCCACTTGAAGAATTATCCGTCATCCTCCGTCATTTGCGTCTTCTAGCTCTCCGAAGGATGGCAAAGTGCGTGTATATGCTCGCGCCCGTCCCGGCGAATACCTCATCGCCGGTACGGTTGTGCCCTTCAGCCCCACTCTGCTCTACATGTGTACGGAACATATAGGTTTATCGTGTAGACTAGAAGCCAGCCCGATTCTCTTATCTTCAATGTGAAGGCAGAAACACTCTCCCGTCAAAACGTTTAAAGTGCTGTAATAGCTGAAAAAATGTTGTTCGACACTGGGCGTTCCCTTTTCGACTACAATTCTACAATAGTTCTCTAGTTCTACTCTGTTTTTCTTTTCTTTTCTTTTTGTCTTCACTTCAAATCAGCGCTCACAGCACTAGTGCCGTTTACTCCAACCCGTGGTCACACAGAAGAGCCCCTCTCTACCCGCCCCTCCTGCGGTCCCTTTGCCTTCGATTTTTAATGCGAGAAGAGTTCAGCACTCTCTTCCCTCTGGTTGCTTTGTCCTCAAGGACGAACACAACTCACCTTACCCCTATGAGAAAAGAGAGAAAATCCTTTTGAGACACTGGAAAAGAGCTCCGGAAAAAAGGGCCCCAAGTGTGGAGGTCAGGATATGGAGATTCATGGAGCACAGATACACGTACACAAAGAGTAGGATCTGAGAGGATATGTGATAATAGATTACCGTTCTTCGACACAAGTTGTTGTTGCCGATCACGTACCGTGCCTTTATTTTTTCTCGTTTTTTCGGTCAGACCCGGTCTGTGTCAGACCAAGTGAGATGCTCAACAACCCCACTACGCCGCGGGCCTTCTCCGCTGCCACTGCTCCCTCTCGAGACGCCGCTGGTGCGAACGCCAAGGGAGCGGAGGGTGCGCCTCCCGGGAAGAAAGAATGCCCTTCTTTCCCCGGTACCCGCGGCGAAGAAGCCACCCGTAGTAGCAACTCCCGTCGGTCCTCTCGATTCCTCCCGAGGGCCAGGTCTTGGACTGCCAAGAAACGGAGGAGCCCCCAACGGGCCGGCAACAGCGATAACGACGACGGTGAAAGCAACACCGGCGGTAGCAGAAGCAACAGCCCGCGCAGGGCATCTGCCGGGATGTTGGGGGCCCTGCAGAGAAGCTTCCGCGACCGGCTGAAAACGAACAGGTGCGGGTGAAGTAGGTTGATTCTTCTTCCTCTATGTACCCCCGTTTTTCATGATGTCGTATTTTTCGAAAATCTGTGGTAGAGATGTTAATCCCGTACCAAAGCATACGCCCGACAACGTTGGTCTAGAGGTTAACCCGTATGTTCGGATGTCGATGCTAATTCCCCACCCAAAATATGCTGACAACGTTGGTCTATCAGGTAACCTTTTAAACCCAACCAGACCACGCGTCCGCTGAATCGCATCCAATCCCATCGTGTTGCGAAACAGGCTGCTCTCGTCACCTCCGCGAACAACAACACGAAAGCGATGGTCGAAGAGCGACGAAGCGGAGAAGAAGGGCTTGGCGGGGTTGTTTCTGGCTAGGGCTAGAGGCACCGCGGCAGCAGCAGCCGCAGCCGCAGCGGACGGCAGAAGAAACGGCGGTGAGCTGTCTCTTGCGAGACACACTGCAGCGTGCTGCCTGGAAACATACCGTCACACGTTCCTCGTTTACTGCATTCGCCGAATAATGAAATTAAGGTTGTTTGCCCCTACCCTGTGCCTTCTAGATTGCAGTTATTTTTCGTGTACGCTTTTGCGCTGCTAACGCCCTCCTTTTGTTGGCCATGTTGGGTGTAGGGGACGAGAGAGAGGGTATATGGCATCTCCTTCACGTTTCGGCGGGAAAACTCGAACACAACAGTCTGTGGCGTGCCAGATCTTTGAAACCGAAGAAACCTCAATGTTTCTTTGGAGGCTAGGTATATGTTCTATTTATAGGCTAATAGTGCATTGAGTTTATATTGCAAGCCTTCCAGTTGGACAATGTATTATGTTGAAGTCGAGACTGACTACGAGTTATGCCTACTGTACAAATATCTTCGAGAAAATGTCTGTGATGATATTCGTGCAATTTTTTTCCGTGAAATTTCAACATCAGGATGGCATGTCGTCTGCAACTAATTCTCTTTTTTCTTGGTGATCGTTTGTTTTGTGCGGCATCGAACAGGCTGCCCACCAGACTCACAGCAGGCAACCCCAGTGTCGGATCCGGAATGATCAGGTTTGCCCGGAAAGAGCGCCTTTGTGGCGTTGCAACCCCCCGGGAGATTGTTGTTGTCCATCGGTCGGTAGGATAAGGCCCCTACACAAGTTTATATTTAATGTTGGTATGGTTGCATCGGATATGTACGAGGTAGATTAGGGACGAGGCACGTTCGTTCTCAGTCTGATGTTACCGGTTCACGTGTTGCTTGTTGTGTGGGTCGATCACTCAATACGATGTAAGTCGTGGGCTACCACGCATTAAGCATGCATGGGGTATTTTTTTCCTGGTGGCTCTACCACTTGTATTGTGCCTCTCATATTTCGAGAGGCAAGGCTTTCTTTCGCTTCTCGAGCTTGATACCAAGAACCACTTTATATCTACATGTACGCAATATTTTTCGATTATCAATTTTTCGTGCGGGGGGTCTTGTACCCTGGTATCACACCTGACTGACTGACTACGTACAAGTCATGCTTATACTTCTTTCGGAAGTATTGAGCCTCAATGATGCACCAAGTCTATAGATGGCGCTATCCGGAATTATTTATTTTGTATGAAGGAACTGTTTGGGATGACGATATTTATAGCAGCATCGGTTTGTTCATACGTGTTTTTCTTCGTCATGACCGTTGGTTGACTATTTGAAACGGCTCTTCTGCCGATCCCTGGCATTCTCCTCGAGACGTGAGCCCGCCTGTGCTTGTGGTTTTTATTCTGTTGCCCTGAAAGGGAGGGTGGGAAAGGTGATGGTTCATTGAGACCGACAGAGTCAGTCGTGATCGGAGCGGCATCATTAGATTGTGTGTTCTTGGGAAATGTGGAACTATTATTAGCTGTGACGAGTTGGAAGGGATTCGATGCTCTTCGTCTAGAACCAACCCCGCTCGTCAAGTAGGGTTAGCAGTGTTTGTTTTGTAGCGGCGACTAAAGGGATGAATACGATTAACTATCTAGACTTAAGTAGGCTAGACTTGGAGGGCGAAGATCAGGCCGTTGGGAATGCGACGAAAGTCCCACGGCCGGGGCCATAGACAGATGTATTATTTATAGCTGTAGATGGAACGGAGGTGCGGTGTCTCTGTCATTCCCGATGGCAGGGCCCCGCTTCTCTTACAAAGTGCTTGATGAACGCAGCTATTATTGCGAACGGAAGAAATTGAAGCCTGAGAGTGCTGCTGTTGATGCTGAGCTGAGAACGTGCCGTGAGCTAGAGTGCGAGTGATGATATTGTAGTAAAACGGGTAGGTTGCATGTTCGCAGTACCGGTGTGCATGTATAAGGATCGCAAAACACGACACACCTAACACGGATGGATGACATTGGTGGGAAAGGATTGATGGTGGGCGCCCTAGCTGGCAAGCAGCAGCGTATCTTCCAGATCTTCGATACTACCCAAGAGAGATTGCTCTCTCGTACCATCTCTACGCTCCCTGGACGCCGACTACAGCAGTAGAGTCTTGCGTCTAGCTACTTGCGTCCGACTGGGGCAGGCACCGTGAAGCTCGACGGGCAGATGGTCTCTGCAAACCAACCCATACGTGAAAACCGTTCTGAGTCTACCGCAACCTTCGTAGTCCACTTCGACGTTGGTCGATACGAGCGTAACACCACGCGCACAAGCAGGCAGGCGCGGTTATGTACCACACTGAATTTTCAGGGGGGTCCTTCGCTTGCGGGTCATGTGGGCTTCAGAAGTCAGAATCAAAGCACCACCAGTCGGTAGACGTTTTTGATAGAAACTGACTTATTTTAGTCTTGGGATCCGAATGACCAGACAGTTCCCTCCGAGGAGGATGGCTCTCCTAGACGTTCCATCCAATGTCAACTTCGCGTCATGTTCTCCTTTCGTCACCCACATCCTGCGGAATGTTCCAGGGTCCGTCTCAGACGAGAGTCTTTTCGTCGGCGATACTCTGGGCGAGAGTATCCTGGGTTTCAGGAACAAACCACCTCGATCAAGTGCCCAGCCTACATAATAAGGAGGATCAGGTTCCCTTTTAGTAATAGGCTCCCCAAATGAAACCATTAGACTATTGTGTTAGGGATAGAGGGTTAGGATAGTGAGCTCTGACCACTGTAGTCTTGGCAGTAGGTTGGTAGGTTTGATTTCGGCTGCTTTTGTGGCGCCGCAGAGCCGTCGGTACAAGTATGTTGTATATATGCGTACGTACAACGGTACATGCGCACCGCACCCGTATTATTACAGAGTCTCATCTCGCCCCTAGCGGTACTCCTAACAGAATGACACCACGGAGAAGCAACAGCTCCCGCCTGTGTCGTCTTGGTCAGCAGCAGTCCTCCATCGGTCTGCGTTGCGCCTGGACTCTCAGTCTCTAGAGGGACGGTCAGAGATAGTCTACGGTGCGTGGTACAAAGATTCGTACCATCCCAGAGGAGAAAAGGCTGCATGCATGTATCACGGAGGTGTGGATGAGCAGCGCCGTGCAGCAGAGACAGCAACAGCAGTATCTGTATCTCTGACTCCAGACACACTACACCTGCCTGGTGCATCCTCTGTGTATCCAATGCAAACGAACGTCGGTCGACACGCAACACACCGTACGTACCCCCGGCCCCCTCTTCAGCTAAAGATCGTGCATGCCTGTGAGCGTGGGTACTCCCGGCTGCACTTTTGATCTCGCCGCAAATTCCGCTACAGCTGCAACAGCTGGCACTTTGGGTGCAACCAACTCTCTCTTTGGCTACACAGCAAGCAGGGTGCAGGAGCTTCGTGCAGAACCATGGCGAGGAGATACACAGCGTCGTCTCTGGCAGCAGCAGGTGAAGCACATCAGTAGCAGCCTTGGCTGAAGGCAGGTCTCTCTGTCGTCAAAGCGTGCGCCGCCCAGTAGCAACCATCTCTCTCCGGAACAGCAATGTTCTTCACCTTGAAGGTAGAGGCGGCGTGCCGTGACGGTCAATGGCTGGCTCTCCGAGGACCTGGAGAGGGCAGCGGCAACGCCGCCCTCGGCCGCCGTGCACACCACGCCAAGCGCATTGATTGTGGCACTTCTCCCTTCGGCCTTCCGTCGTGATCCGGCTGTCGGCCGTGCGGAGCGCCGAGAACCGGGGCATTGAACCTCGTGTGTGCACGCAAAATGCCTTGCCGAGATATACTGCGCTGTGCATACCGTATGATGCAAGATAACACACCCCATTGGTCGATTTTCAAAGCTCGACTACCCCTCTGCAGCGACAACAGGATGACGGTGCTAATAATGGTGGCGATGGAACCGTCTCGTCCAGAACATTTTCGAAACCTTTCGTCTTAGTCTTGCGTTGTTCTCTTTTGTCGCGGAGTAATCGAGCATTGAACGTATCGGTCCAAATGGTTGGGGTATTGCACGGCTCGCCGCATATCTCCCCTTGTCCCGCTGTGAGAGCCTGGTGGGCTTGTGGTTGGAGAGTCTGCGATCTGGCTGATGATGCGAATCGATGTGTGGCTATTGCTCTTCGAAGCAAGTCTGCCCCGGGAAACATTGGCAGGTTCTGTATGAGGCAACCTATTTACCAAATCAGAGCCTACCGCAAGGTTGCGTTCAATAGGCGTGCGTCCTGGAATTCTGTACAACGATTTCTGGTACCATATTCAAGATTGCTGTCCAAACAGCAGTAGCTCGCGCTTGTGTGTGTGACACTACTGCTCCGCCCGGGCAGTTTCGGGACCAACAACAAGCGCGATTTCTCGCGCCCAGCAGGCGCTAGGAGTGATGTCTGGTCTAAGCAGTCGCTGTAGTATTGTTGAAATAACGAGTTGTTTCATAGGTTGGGAATGTCAAAAACCGTGATTGAGTGATACTATGCGTGTGCATATGCATTCACGTAAGGACTACAACCACTTACAGGTATGCATAGATGGTAGGCATGACATACAAAACACCCAGATAAATGACCAGCCGGTTTTTTCGTCCCTTCGCTGCAAAGATTTTTAACAGCACCCGTTCTACAGCAGTGGTGTTCTCTCAACGGGGGGTAGTGTTCTGTGATTGTTTCGTCGCTTGATTTTCAGGTACTGTACCCACTTTTGTCCGAGAAAGGGGGTGGGTATACCCACTTGTGTCTATTTCCCTGTAAAAAATGATCCCGTTGCATTCTACAACCTTTTAGGTTTGGGTATAATAGTATAATACCGATTTTCAAAGCTGGATTGCTTGGCAAGAACGGCGTTGGAACCGTCCCGTCGAGAGCTTTCCAAAAACGCATCATTTGAAATCGGCATCCTCTTTCGCCATATGGTGAAACCGAGCTTGGAAAATCGGTCCAAAAAATAGGGGGGGTGGTATCTTGCGCAACTCGCGGTAGTCTGCCGTTAGCAGCATAACAACCGTTTCTCAGAGCTCGGCTATTCCACAGCAGAGAGGGCGACGGGGGCTATTTAAAACGGCGGCGTTGTGACCGCCTCATACAGAGCTTTCCGAAACGCATCACTTGAATGTGGCATCGCTCCCCTTGTGTCGTGGAGTAATAGTAATCGAGCTCTGAAAAATCGGCCCAGGGGGGGGGGGGGGGAATCTTACGTCAACTACCGTATATATTACACAAGATAACACACCCCCTTGGCCGACTTTCAAAGCTCGATTTCTCATCAGCAGGAAGAGTCTCAGCGCCGAAAACGGCGGCGTTGGAACCGTCTCGTCAAGAGCTGTTCGAAAATGTATAATTTCGTTCATGATGCATCCTCTTCGTCGTGGAGTAATCGAGCTTTGATAATCGGTCCAGGGGGTGTGTTATCTTGTGTCATATACGGTATGTACAACAGCCAAAATCGACGCCGGGAACAGTAATGGGATGACAACGCACTCCCTCCCTAATACATCTGGCGTGAATGCGCGTGAGTGCATACCGCATACGACACAAGATAACACACCCCCTGGACCGATTTTCAAACGATTGCTCCACGACGAAGACGATGCATAAACGAAATGATACGTTTTTCAGAGAGCGCTCGACCAGACGACTTCAATGCCGCCGTTTTCGGCGCTGCGACTCTTTCTGCTATTGACAGATCGAGGTTTGAAAATCGGTCCACGGGGTGTGTTATCTTGTGTCGTATACGGTAAGCTACCAAGCACTCGTTGTTGGTGAAGACGCTCTATCCACTTTACTTCTATCTTGCCTTCTCACGTGCCGACCAGATCATTTCCGAAATCACCCCTCCGAAAAATAACAAAGAAATAAAACGGCGCTACACGTTGACCGGGGGGGGCGGCCTCTGTGGTTAATTTGATCGCGAAGAAAGGCACGTAAATATCAACGGATAAAACGAGCTGCACACCGCTGTTGAGCATTTTGATCACGGCTAAAGGCACGCAGATATCATCTGACAACAACATGCCCAAGCTTTTTCGATCGCGACGAAAGGCACGTAAATATCGTATGATCACAAGATGCACACCGTTGAGCATTTGATCGTGACTAAACTCACGCATGTATCACCGGATAACAATACAAAAGGCACTCTGTTGAGCATTTGATCGCGACCAAACGCACATCAATGGTATCAACTTATAGCAAGATTCACTCTGTTGAGCCGACGCCGAAATCCTCTCTAGTCACACCACCATATTGAGCAAGGGCTGCTGCTGACACATGCAACTGATGTGTTGGATGAAATTGTGGCGCTGCCGCTGCTGAGCCCGATTCTCGGTCCGATTTCTTACACGTTTTCAACAGCCTAAAAGCCCCAGGCACCTGCCTTCAACTTCAATTCTTAACAATACGAGTGGGTCGCTACGACTGGTGTATGTAACTATCCAAAGCAGGTGCGAGCGCCACTGCCGCCGCTGCCCTTGTGGGAGCAACCGCGGCCTTTAGCGGGGTGGGAACGGCGTCGCCGCCGTCAAGCGGCGGCGGCGTCGCGGCTTGCACGGAGAAAACGAGCACCCTCGCGGAGACCGTCGCGGGCAGGGCAAGCGCCGCCGCCAGCGTCGTGGCGGCGGGGACAAAGACTAGCAGCGACCCCGCCGGTAAGCCGGGGTCGACGTACGCCGACCGGTTCTTCAGGGTGATAGGGCTCATGGACCCGAGGCACACGTTGACGACGGAGGCGGACGTACGGCGCTACCAGAGACTGCTCAAGGAGCATCGCGTTGGGGAGGTGAGCAGCGACGAGAAGAAGCGCAGACAAAAGCTCCAATGTTTTTCTTTGATTATTGTAGCAACCACTGAAGAGACTCCACCACATCCCGTTCGACTGTGGGTACATCTCGAATGGGTAGTCTTTCTGTGTGTGTTTTTATTATCCCTTAATCCTGCTGCTGTACAGTCGAGTGGTCTCGATTGGCCCGGGGCAATCTAGCTTAGTCGGTTGGTCGGTAAGATTACGTCCATCTTTTATTGCGGGGTAAAAAGCGAGAACGAAATAGACGCGTATGTGCGGGGGAACGAGCACTCGCCTGTCTGTGCTTGTAACGTACACGCCCGGTTGTCGAGGGTTTTCAGCACGAGTCCGGTGGTCTGGGCCAAGTGCTTTCTCGTCGATGGTTGTTGTTGTTGTTGTTGTTGTTGTTGTTGCATGGTTGCTGTTGCCTGGGGACGTTACTTTTCCCCTACCGTCTTGGATTGCGTGCTCGCGGTGCTTGGTGCCATCACCTGTAGGTACGGTCTTACCAAAGAGCAGTGGGCCCATCCGAAGACGGAGGGGACGGCCGTACCATACGACCCGT